TTTTTGAGTTTTAGATCTAACAGGCAGTTTGCAGTTGTTGTTTATCAGTATATTTTGTTTAATGATGCTCATTGCATCTGTGTGATTAGACAGTTAGCAAATGACTGAGACTGTTGGAGCCTTAGTCTCCTCATCTGTACATGGGGACAATAGAGCATTATTCGCTGAGTTGCTGCTAGAATTAAGTGAACTAACTCATGGAAGGTGGTTCGCATCTGACACAAAATAAACATTTAACGCATCTACCGAGCATTAATTACAACGAGTGGCTGTCCTGGTTTAATGGGGGGAGCATTGCCCAGGACTGAACGTCCCCTGGAGGTGGTCACTGATGTGGGGGAGAAACGACACCTTTGTCGGACTAGAGCCCGAGAAACCCCTGCTGCATGCTGGGGAGTGTTTGTGGTCATGGGCACCGTTTCCTGGACCACGTATGAACACGTGTGAAACGTCTCTCCAGTGCGAGAATGTGAAAGGACACTTGCTCGTCCCGTGGGCACAGCATGTTGGTGAGAGTGGTTTGGGGTGGACAGAGGTCCCCGGGAGAAGCAGGTTATGGGTCGTGTCCCCTTCTCTCCCTTTCTCACCTGGACTGGGAGCTCCCTTTCCTGTGAGGATGTGTGGGCTCCGCGTCCTCCTGACTCAGTTTCTCCTCCGCAGACCCACTCCGAGGAGAGGCCGTTCCAGTGCGAGGAATGTAAGGCCCTATTCCGGACCCCGTTTTCCCTGCACAGACACCTGCTCATACACAACAGTAAGTGCGTCCGTCAGGCGGGCAGGGCCCCGGCATGGGATGACCTTGCACTTGTCTTCCCACCCCCCGGCCCCGTCCCACTCCCGGCCCCAAGGAGCTGTCTGCTGTGCACACAGGACAGTAATCGCCTCTCATCTTCCCTCGTCCTTGTTTGTTTTCCCACAGGAAGATCAGCCATTTTAGGAGACATTTTATTTTATGTCACCCGCACCATCATTTAGTTTGTATGGAACACATAGCCTGTGTCCTGAAAGGTGGCTTTGAAATTTGCTCAAAAGCAGACATTTTGGTCCCTTTTAAATGTAAGGATGGACATTCTTGGCTGCCGAAGTGTTTTGCAGTTTGACGGGAGTAGCAGTGGCAGGGGCTTACATACCTGCAAATCTCACCACGGTGTGGCCCCGCCCAGTGAGACATACATGGAAGGACTAAGGAAACAGAGCAGAGGCTGGGGGGGCGGTGTGATTTCAGGAGCCCACAGGCTTTTGCTGTTGGGAAAGGTCAGAGTTCACATTGAACGTGACCTCTGAGTTGAGGAACTGCGAGGATGGGGCGCAGAGAAGGCCACGGACTCGGCTCGCTGTACGGGGAGCAGCCCACAGTGCAGGGAGCGGCTCACGGTGCGGGGAGCAGGCAGCGCTGCGCCCCCTCTTCCCTGCTCAGCACGCTGCCTCCCACGTCGCCCTTCCTGGGCAGGGGTGCCGGGGTGCGGTTTTCCTTTGTTTATCAGACACACCCACCCCACGGAAGTCCGCCTAGCGTCACACCCAGAGCCGTGTCGAGGGGACCCGGAATACACAGCCACCTCGCCGAGGCCATCACCACGCTGTAGAGGAGAAAGTGCGACTGCGCCGCTGAAGGGCCAAGTGGGGGCGCCGCCCACGTGTTCGTGACCACGGCGCCTGACACGGAAGGGAAAACGGTGTAACGAGTCACAGCTGCTTTTCTTGCTTCTAATTGGAGTTGTTTACTCAGTAGATCATCCTCCACAGATGAAGGTTCCACGCTGACTGCATTTTTAATATTTCTGGGGGAAGCGAAGCCGTTGCTCATTCTTGACAGCTAATTGCACAGATAAGATAGTATCTTGGAAGAAATGGGGCGCCGCCCACGTGTTCGTGACCACGGCGCCTGACACGGAAGGGAAAACGGTGTAACGAGTCACAGTTGCTTTTCTTGCTTCTAATTGGAGGTGTTTACTCAGTAGATCATCCTCCACAGAGGAAGGTTCCGCTGCTGACTGCATTTTTAATATTTGTGAGGGAAGCAAAGCCGTTGCTCATTCCTGACAGCTGATTGCACAGATAAGATAGTATCTTGGAAGAAATGTTCTCTGGTCCGTGGAAGTATCGGAAAAATCAGAATGATAAAGATGTTAAGGCTTTTATGAAAGCTGAGCGTGACGATGGTAACGGGGGATGGAGCCCATAACCCAGGCGTGTGCCCTGACCGGGAATTGAACTGTGACCTCCTGGTTCATAGTTCATCCCTCACCCACTGAGCCACGTCGGCCGGACCGAAGTTTTATTTTTAACAGCAGCACGGAATTCTCGGAAGAAGGAATCCAATACTTTTGACTTCATCCTGTTGGTTCTGATCAACCTGAGGCAGAGGATTGAGGCCATCGAGGCTGGGCCGTGCCTGTGTGTTTAATATAAAGTTGATCGGCACGTTGATCAGGGGGTTTATGAAGCTGCATCACGACACGTTCTGAGATGAGTGGGTTTTAGAACAAGGACTTACACACGGGAGCCCCATTCATACTCTGAAGACTTGCAACCGTGGCCTCAGACTCAAGGAAATTTTTCTTTGGATAGATGAAGTTTTATTTATTTTATTATTTTTTAAAATATATATTTTTTAATGTGGTTAGAAAGGTCGACTCTGGAATTGGGCGAGGAAACGAGTGATTTAAGGAGGATGGGAAACTGGGCGGTGCCAACGGAGGACAAAACACCAGACCGCGTCCTACACAACAGGACGCTTAAAACCTGTTTAACTTCACCACATGGAGGTGGTGATCAGACAATGACGTGCGCTCACGGTACGAGGAAAACTTTCCATAATTATTTTGGAAATTATTGCCATTTTCTAATATTCTGAAAGCCGAAAGGCGGGCTCCTAGCCAGCTTCTCGGTTTTAAAATGGGGGGGGAAAATTGGATAAATCGAAGGCAAGGAAATCTGGTAAAATCAGATAAAATCCTACACCAGAATTTTAAAATTCTGATACACGTTAAAGCCAAGAACCCGGAATGACAGCGCGAGGGGAAAGGTGCCGCGTAGCGAGGTGCTGTTCAGGGTCGCACATTTTGCTTCTCTTGACAGTTTAATGAAAATGCTTGGCTAGGCGCAATCTTGGAGGATTTGGTTTTTAATTTCTTTCAGTGCCTGACTAAGATCTGGTATAATTAACATTCTTAACCTTGTGTCAACTCATCCTTCACTTTGCTCTCACTGGTTCTATATTTTACCCAAAAGAAATGTTCAGATACATCTAGAGACACGTAGAGACAAACTGGGTCGCCACAGCACCCCCACGACACAGACGCACAAAGCAACTGCAGACGAAGCGCTCAGAACCCGCCCCGGCCTGCGATTCCCGCGTGGCCCCCACGTGACTTTGTCTCAAACACCAGCTCTCAACAGGCCTCTGAGAGACTAAACAGCCGCTTTCTGATGGAAAACACAAGGGTGGGGTGGCTTGCCTTCTCCCCCTTTCTCCTTCCCTTCTCTTTGTCCTTCAATGTGCTGGGAAGGAGCCCGAGGACCCCACAGGTCTAAGGGACGCTGGCTGTGATGGAGGCGTAGGGGCTGGGCCGAGGCATCTCTCACTGAGACTAGAAAGTTGCCTGTGTCGCTTGCCCCAGTGAACGTGGGAATCTGTGCCAATGTCATTGTTCTCTACAGGGGAACATGCATTCCAGTGCTAGTCCGTCTCGCACGATAGGGCCGTGGGCTCCGTGCACTGATGACTTCCCGCGGATGCGCTGTCCTCTGTGCGCATTCCCCGCTGAGAGTGTTGGAAAGGGGCGCCGAGAGCCTGGCATGCCAGGAAGAGCTGAGAGATGGCGTTCCGTGAGCTTTAAAAAGTGCGGAGCGCTCCCTGAGCTGCTTCCCCTGCAGCCGAGGCCACGAATGAAGGCAGGCACCCAGGGCTCCAGGGCAGTGGTTCTCAACCTTCCTCATGCCGCGGTCCTTCAATGCAGCTCCTCATGTTGTGGTGACCCCCACTTTCATTGTCACAAATTGAACATAATTAAAGCATCGTGATTCATCACAAAAACAGTATGTAATTATATATGTGTTTTCCGATGGTCTTAAGTGACCCCTGTGAAAGGATCGTTCGACCCCCAAAGGGGTCGTGACCCACAGGTTGAGAACCGCTGCTCTAGGGTATAAGCCGGGAGTTGCCACTCTAGGCTCCCCCGTCCCCCCCAAACTGTCTGAGAGCCTGGGCAGAACCCCCTCCCCCAGCAGCTTCACGCCCACTGAGGACCACTGTGGGGCTCCCGTCCACATACCTGAGACCAAGTCCCAGAGACCGTGCTGAGGCAGGTGGTGGGATGGAGGCCCCTGTCGTGGGATGGGAAGGCCACTCTGTCTCCCTCAGGCCCTCGCCCCCAGCTGGCTGCCAGTGACCAGGCCTGCCCGTGCCCCATCCTGAAGGCCGTGTGGACCGCTGTGCGATGGAGGGGAGAAATGAGGGGTCCCCAGCGCAGCTCCTCTCTATGACAGAGGCCTTTTGTCCCCACAAGAATCTACTTAGCTCAAACCCCAGCCCCTGCCCTGGAAACTTTTAAAACAAGTTGATGGACCCTCAGGAAATGAATTCAATGCCCACATTTTCCAGGTGCAGAGGCTGAGAGCCTGTGAAGGTACAGGGCTTCCCTGGCCGCACAATGATTCTAAATGTGGAACCCAACTTGTTGTGACCCACTCCCCTTTGCGAGTGGGATACGCGGTCAGAGCCCTAAAGCCAACCTGCGGGGGGTCCAGACCAGCAGGTGTGTGTGGGCTGCTGGCGGGACCCGCCGGGGCACCTCATTTCCTCTCCTGTGACCTCCTGTTTCCAAGGTGAGAGGACCTTCAAGTGCCATCACTGCGACGCGACCTTCAAGAGGAAAGACACCCTGAGCGTGCACGTGCAGGTGGTGCACGAGCGGCACAAGAAGTACCGCTGCGAGCTGTGCAACAAGGCCTTCGTCACGCCCTCCGTGCTGCGGAGCCACAAGAAGGTCAGCCTGTGGGGCTCCATGTCCTGGCCTCGCGCGGGGCAGCCTGGCAGGCGGGGCGGCCGAGGGGTCTGGACAGTAGCCCGCGGGGTTATTTTCAAGTTCCCACGGACGCGTGGATCTGAGGGGGTTTGGAATCAGTGGGGATGCGCGTGACAGTGGTTTAAAGTCTCCTTGTGAGACTAAATCACTTGAATGAAACGTAAGCCAGGAGGAAAGGGTTTGCCCTTCGTCATCGTTACCTGTTTCTCTGGATTGACCCTCAACTCTTTGGATGCCCCACCCCCCTTTAGACACACACGGGAGAGAAGGAGAAGACCTGCCCGTACTGCGGCCAGAAGTTCGGGAGAGTCCATCTCCCCTGTTTTCTCCCTTAAAGTTTTATAAAATCCGATTTCTGATTCTAGAAAAATGTTGAATAAGTTGCTTTTTCAAACTAAGTTAACTATCTAGCGTGGAGATAAGCCGCTCGCTGTTGGGCTGTGGTGTGACTGATGTGAGGTACACACTGTCCAGGGGACAGAGAGGGAGCAGACCACTCCCTGTGGAGGCCGGGGGCCCCCTCTTAATCCTCCTGTCAACCTCAGGAAGCGGCGTTTCCCAAAGGCCCTGTCCTGTGGGACCTCACACCCCCTCCCCAGCTCTCCCATCCGTCACGTTCAAATCCGTCGGTGCGACGGCACTGGGGTCTTTCCCCGCGTGTGGCTCTGACTCGCACACAGACCACTGGGGAGATGTGGGCTCCCTGAGCCACAGGCCTTCCCGTGCCACGTCAGCACCCACCTCATCTGGTGGGTCTGCGGTCCAGCACGTGGCAGCAGACCCGAGTCTCCTCCGTTCTGAGTGCGCCTTGATTCCTCTAATTCTGGCTCCCTCCCTCTCCCTCCTGTCCTTCCTTCTTTTCGTCCTTCCTTTCTCTTTAAATGACAGGCTCCCTGCTTTTATATGAGAAAACAAGTGTTCACAAAAACAAGTCTGAATGGCCGTAGTCGTGGTCACTTCGTGTCGAGGACAAGTTGCTCCACGGGAAGAGCCGCCGGTTCTGCCCCTCGAGGCTGTGCCTCTCGCTGAGCCTCCCGTGTGGGCCCCTGTGCGTCCCGGGTCACAGGGGTGCCCACTCCCCACTTTATCCAGAGAGCAGTAAAGGAGGGTTCGTTCCACATGACGAGGTTGACCCTGTGGAACTGGCATAGCCACAAGCAGCGGGTAGCGAGCAGTGGGTAGCGAGCAACTGGGTAGAGGTCTGGCCCCCTGCTGGGGGTCTCATCCAGGAGCCACCAGGAGGTCCCCGCTGCCCATCAGGCGGACATCGCTCCCGGTTACCGCGTTGTACTGTGTTCATCGGTTCACCTCCACACTCGGGCTGCAAAGGCCGGGCAGGCGGGGCGGGCTCTACCCAGTTGATGGAGGGAGGGAGCTCCTCGAACAGGACCCCAGGGGACCTGTCTCAGCAGAGCGGCAGGTTCCCACGGCCACACTCACTTCCTGTCACAGAACGTGAGGCTCAGACAGCAAATGGCCCAGCCAGTCCAGGGAATACGGTAATGACCTACCTAACCAAGGAGACAGAATCCAAGTGTGGTCTCTTCTACCCAGCTGTTATAATGAACACAAGAAGCCTGGCTGGTGTGGCTCAGTGGTTGGGTGTCCACCTATGAACCAGGAGGTTATGGCTCGATTCCTGGTTGGGGCACATGCTGGGGTTACAGGCTTGGTCCCCACTGGAGGGCGTGCAGGAGGCAGCCAAGCAATGATTCTCATCATTGATGTTTCTCTTTCTCCCTCTTCCTTCCTCTCTGAAATCAATAAACATTTATAAAAAATATACAACACAAGAATTATCAAATGCTCTAAGTTCTGCAGTATAAAAGTGAGGAATGAAATTCTAAAGGTCTTAACATTACTTCAGTAGTTTGAAAGTTTTATGCTTTAGAGCCAAATGAAAGGTGCTCTAAAATTTTTTATTTTCACATTCCCGTGTTCATGTACTCCCGAGCCACCTTTATATGGCAATAACACACAGAGAACACGATGGTTAAATGCAATTTCACCGGATTGCTCTTTTTTTTTAAAAAAGAGGTTTTATTTTTTAGAGAAATTTTAGGTTCACAGTAAAATGAAGGAAGGTACAGAGTTGCTCATCTACCTCCTCCCCCAACACAGCCCCCCACCATCCACATCCCCAGACGGAGGGGCGTATCAGTTACAATCCATGAACCTGTGCCGACACATTATAAACCCCCAGAGCCCAGCATCTACCTTAAGGCTCCCTCTTGCTGTTGGACATCCTGTGGGTTTGGGCAAATGATACCGACACGCGCCCGTGATTGGAGTTTTACACCGAGTCGTTTCACTGCCCCAAAACCCTCTGTGCTCTGCCCATTCATCCCCCAACTCTCACCTGGCAACCACCGAGTCCCCACAGTTTCCCCCGAATGTCACCCAGTGGATGGGTTGCTGTATTGCGCCCAGGAAGCGGCTATCAGCGGATGGCCTTTCCGCGAGGCGATGGGCACTGAGCACTCTGCCGTGTGCCCAGGTGCTTATGCAGGTCACGGTCTTTTCTGTCTCCTGATGGTGTTGAAAGAGCTGGTTTCATTTTGCTGTTACAGTATTCAAACCGTCCATCGGTATTTTGGGAGGCGGATTCTCTCTGGTAACCTCAGCCCGGTGTTATGAAGGGGAGACATGGCCGCAGCCTCGGGCCCCTCCTTCCATTCGCTGGTGTCGTGCGTCACTTCCTGTCTACTGTGTAGGTGTGGTGTGTGTCTACTTCATGTTCACTTTCTCTGAACTGCTCTTACCCTTCTGGCTCGGACTAGCGGCCATTCTCTAAGATGGTGATTACTTAGCGATTGAGTTACTATCTGTCTGTTCCTTCTGGGAGGAATCTCGGTATTTTTTCTGTTTAAAGGAAACCTTTGGAAAATGCCTCTGGTTCTTCGCATGTTGGTTGACTTTATCCTTTGTTGCCTCCGCTAACCAACCAGTTGTATCAGCTGTAGCCGTATCTCAGCTCCTCTCTGTCCCTCTGCCTCATTCCCATTCCCATCCTTTAGTACTGCTGGGGCGAAATCTGACAAAACTTTTTTTTTCCATTAACTTTGAAAATGTTATTTTTCATAAACTTTGTATCTACTTTCTAAAGTCTACTCATTCTTCATAATTAGGTGATTTGAATAAGGGCATGTACATCAAGTGTGCACAAGACATTTTGATTTAAACATCATTAAACTATAGTATTCTTTCTTAAAAATATTTTTATTGGTTTTTAAAGAGAGAGAAAGGGAGAGGGAGAGAGAGAAAAAAACATTGAGGCAAGAGCACAGCATCGATTGGTGCCCATGCACACCCCCCACCGGGGATCCAGCCCACAACCCGGGCATGTGGCCTGACCGGGAATTGAACTGGCGACTCTTTAGTGGACAGAATGATGACCAACCAACTGGGCCACACCAGCCAAGGAAAAATATAATATTATTGACTTGGAGAATAGAAAGGAATTTCAGGAAGTTTCTAGTTCAAGCCTCTTAGTTGAATTCACGTGCATCAAAATCCAGTGATTTGCTCGTTACAGAACTCGTGTGTGGTTCCTCCAGAACTGAACAAAGGCAAATGACAATTTGGTTTTCCAGTGTCACCTGGCTGGTGTTTTGTCCCTTGTTCTCTAACAATACTCCCTAACCTCCCATTGCTCCTGACTTACCATTGGTTACGTACATGCCTCCCACAATGTGTGATGATATCATCTGGGTCATCAGCCAGTTTAGGATACGCATCTGCACTTGGATGCGAAGGGGTGTGGCGTGTTACTTATGGTCTAACTGAGCACTTCACTCTGGAGACACTTTCCCAGCACAAAACCAACGGTCCATGAGACCTTACTACTCGACGCTGGTTCATATGAGAGCATGCGTCTGTGCCCGGCAGGCAGCTGTCATTCATCACCGGTCTCCCGGGCTGGAGTGCCGGTGGTGGCACCCCGAGGGCAGCAGGAACAGCAGCTCTGCCTCCCGACCGTCCACAGCGTCTCAGGTCAGCTGGAACTAGGGTGATTCCGAAAGAGTCTGTGGACTGTGACAGGGATTCCGACCGTCGTCCATAAATTATGAGAGAAATTCTAGGAACTGCTTTTGGGCCAGAAGGTTAATTACCTGCCTGCAGCTCCCCGGTCTGCGTGTTCGTAGACGCCTGCTGTGGGCCTTCTGTTCCGGACTGGCTGCACGCTGCTGCTGGAACCGAGTCATAAATCACTGTCCCAGCAAACATTTAATATTTCAGTAAATACCTGTGATCCGCTTAGAAATAAAGGTTCGGTATAATTTGCTTCTCCTTGGATTTCAGCCACTACTTGTCTGTCTTCTCTAATGTTTTTACTAAAGGAATCCATTCATTTTTTAGAATATTTGTTCACAGGTTTAAAAACACTAGCAATAAATAATCCTATAAAATAAAAGACTAATGATGCAAATTGTCCCCACAAGCAGGAACTGTGACCTCCTGGTTCATGGGTTGATGCTCAACCCCTGAGCCACACCGGCCGGGCTATTTTGTATATTTTTTAATCTTCCAAGTTGCTCTTGGCCATTACTGCTCAATCTGTCGCATTCAGTCTGTTTACCGACATGACATAAAACTTGATCTTCTGAGCCATCTGACCAAGTGGTCAAGTTCATTTCTTAAATCCGTGGCCTAATTTAAGGGTATCAAGATACCTCATTTAAGAATACCAGGATTTGCAAAGTTTTTCTTTATTAATTTCATGTGACCTAAACAACGATCTTTGGAAAGTATTTGTGTCCAGACGTTGGACAGTGAGGTGATTTTGTAGCCACCGATGGATAGTCAGTATTCGGGGGCTTTAGGGTCCTTGTATGTGAGCACACACGCTAACCTTCACTCCCTCCACAAACTTCAAATGCTGTTTTAATATCAGTATGTTGCTCTTTGGTGAGAACCAGAGTTCCTCTCATGTCTTTAATTAACATTCCATTCCATAAAATAATGGCAGCGTTAATAAATTATTATTCTAATAACATGCATTAGACTAGGATCGAGTTTCCCCCTATTGCCTTTAGCCGCATTTGCATGGTTGTTGTCATAATGCATTTTCTTTGTTAAAGACTCCCGGTGGGTGACTTGCTTGGGGGCCGGGCTAGACCCTGGCAGGGATTCCACATGCATCTGGATGTCCCCTGTGGAGGGCACAGCCCCGTTCCCTGGAGCCCTTTCGTGACATTTCCCACCTTTCCTCGCCCTTTCACACCTAGAATATCTTTACGCTCCTTCCACCTCAGGCGTGCCGGCAGTGAGACTTTGGAGGCACTAGCCCAGTACGATAAGATAATCCAAAGATGGAGACTTACCCTGAGTGTGCTCCGATGACCTTACAGCGGCCCCGGAACTGCATCCCTTCCGTCCTTGTGCCTTTCCTGACGACCTGAGCTAGTCCTCCTCCCGCCCCCTCAGAGGCTTTCTCACACCTGCCTCCGTTCGTATCTGAGATGATCGTCTGTGTTTTCTTTAACTTCTCCATGCCCTTCTCCTCGCACGAGTGACATTGAAGGGGCGGCGATTGTGCGAATGTACTCGTAACCCCATTCCCAAGGCCCTGGACAAGGGCAGATACCTGTTTAACGAAGGAGTGAGGCCACTTCACGGAGCCTCCGCTTTGAGGCATCTTTTAAAATCAGCCTCCATCCAGCCCTGTCTAGTGGGCATCGTGTCCCTCTGTGTTCCTGGATGTGTTTGAAGAAAACACAGAGGATGGTCATGCTACTGGGTGTCAGAGCATAGTGTGAGGAAAGAGGCAGACACGAAGAACTCGCCTGCTTTTCTCAGCCCAGTCATGCACATGTCATGCACACGTCAGTGTCATGTGTGCGGCTGTGCCCATTAACTGACTGTGGTAGCTGCCCCTGTGTGTGCTGTGTGTGCGGTATTGGCCCGGGCCGCGTTCCGCTCCGTGTGGAAGGTGCGTACCTGTCTCCTGTGATGGCGGGCCTGCTTGAGACATAACACACATTCCTCCCCCACCCCCGGCACCCCCGCTCCCTGTGAACTTTGAGGACTCAGTGCCTCCCTCGCTGGACAGAAACATCTGGTTCATGTCAACTGTCATGTCAAGAAGTGGAGTTTCCGTCAATCACTTTAGAAAGTCCCACCTCCGTGACCCTGAACAGCAGCCACATTGTTAATCTGGGGGTGGCAGAGCGGGGGCTACCTTCTGACTCCCACGTGCAATGGCTCTGTCCGCTGAGGCACCTGCGCCTCCTCCCTGTGCCTCACTTTCTCCGTTTGGAAACCAGGGACACGGATACCCAGACCCCAAGGGTGTTGCCTGGACAAAAGGTGCTGCGAGGGGTTGAGTGCTGGGCTCCGCAGAGCAGAGCGAGCGGGACCCCCACTGCTGTTGTTACTGTTTCTGCTTATGTGGGCTTTCAGCTCCATTTTCTTGGCGAAGTTTTGCACTAATTCTTGTGTTAGTCGACATAACACTGGTTCCCTAAACAAAGTGAAGGCAGTGCCTGAATCTGCCCGCGGTCCTGCAGGACGGCGTGTGCACTGGCCTCAGAGGGCGCTCAGCCTCTGCCTGGGGCATCCACGCAGCAAAGACAGGCTGCTCTTCTCCAAGGTCAGTTCCTTCATCCAGGAGGGCTGTCCGTGTGGCGGGCATGTCCTCATTCCCCGGGCCCAGCTCACAGGAGCCCCCGGCGCCCCTCCTCCCGCTGAGGCTAGAGCGTGGGCCGTGCTGGGGCCTCCCCGAGACGTCCCTGCTTCAAACCCAGGTTCAGTGGAGCAGAGGCAGCCCAGGGGCCATGGGGCCACGGAGGCCATGGGGGCCCCGGGACCCGCGGGGAGCCATCTGTCTCTGGAGGCAGCACTGGCTGGAGGGGTCAGGGAGGAGCCTGGTGGGAAGGCAGCGCCTTGCTGACCTGGGAGGTGTGCTCACTGGAATGATACCAGTGACCCCGGACGGAAGGACAGGCCTGCCTGTGTGGAAGGAAACACGGGCAGAGTCCTGCACCTGCTGAAAGGTGACTACCCCCTGGTGCTGGGCTGTGGTGCAGCCGGGACCAGCACCCACGTAAGCGCCGGGTTGAATGGAGGAATAGGTGACAAGTGGCTTTTCTGCAGTCGGCTCTGACTGGGGGCAGCTGCCCATTACATTTTGTTACAGTTTTGTCGTTTCGCAGTAGAACTCCAACACACTGCGACAAGTGTCTGCGTGCTTGCTTGGTTTACAAAGAGGCTTGGCGAGTCCTAAGTAACCTCTGGGTGAGAGGTACCTGGTCACATCAGAGTGTGGGTCCATGACTGCCTAGTTCAGCAGCCGGTGGTTCTGTTTAGCGAACACCAATTCTATGAAAGTCTTTGGAAACTCATCCCCCTAACTGAGATAGGACATGAAATCTTTTCTTCAAAAGCAAAGAAGGCATCAGTGGGATAATTAAAGACCCCCAGTGCTCATTGATTAATGTCGCTCCTTAATAAATTGACTCAGATATCCCGGCTGGAGTGGTTTAGCATCATCCCATGCAGAAGGCAACTGATAGGTGTTTCTCACATAGATGTCTCTCTCTCTCTCTCTGAGCATCGTCCCATGCACTGTACAGAAGGCAACTGATAGGTGTTTCTCACATCGATGTCTCTCTCTCTCTCTCTCTCTCTCTCTCTCTCTCTCTCTCTCTCTCCCCCCCTTCTTCTCTCTAAGAATATCCTCAGATGAGGATTAAAAAAAAATGATTCATGTAAAATCTTTTTCACAAATTCTTAAAATCAGGAGACTTCAGGCGGGCTCCCGCGATAAAAGGACCGCGCATCAGGCCTGCTGCTGGGACCTCGCTTGTTTCCCAGTCCAGCAGGTGCAGCGGGCTGGGTCCCTGTCCACCGGAGGTTAGGCCGGCCCACTGCCCGCTGCTGTGGTGCGGGGCCCAGGGCGCACGGAGCGGGTGGGGACCGATCTGGGTGCGGGAGGAGGAGGAGGATGGCGCTGCTTGCTCTGCGCCTGCGTGTTCTGACGCGGAGCTCCCCTCTCTCGTAGGCGAGCGCCCCTACCAGTGCCCGTACTGCGAGAAGGGCTTCAGCAAGAACGACGGGCTGAAGATGCACATCCGCACGCACACCCGGGTAAGGCGCGGCCGCCCGTGAGGACGGGCCAGGCTTCCTCACAGCGCGGAGCTGACCTTGGGCAGACCAAGGCCCTGGGTCTGAAATCGCGTGTTTATGTTTATGATGGACGTTGGCATTTCTTTAAAGACAAAAACACCCCCAAAATGTCCTCATTCTTGGAGCTGTGACTCGGCTTTCGGGAGTCGTGGGAGTTACCAGCGACAAGCTTCCCAGTAAATAGGTTGGCACCTTAGTAAAATGTGAACATGGGGTCTGGCGGTGTGTGTGCCAGGACCGCGCCGGAACAGAGGTGTCAGCAGGCGGCCATTCCTGCAAACGAGCATGCATATTGGCAGGAGAGACCCTGAGACGGTGTACGCTGTTGCGGGAGGGCAGTGGTCGGCAAACTGCGGCTCGCGAGCCACATGCGGCTCTTTGGCCCCTTGAGTGTGGCTCTCCCACAAAATACCACATGCGGGTGCTGAGGTGGAAGGCAGGGACGGTTCGTGGCTGGCCGGCCTCTCTTCCCCAGGTGCCCCCTCTCCTCTCCTGCACCCCTCTGCTGGGCGTGTCACCTGCCACACGGCTTTTCCGGACAGTCGGAGGCTGTGGCTGTCTCCTCGGGCTTGTTGTGATTGGGCTCCATCTGTGGTCCCTGCAGCCTCTTTCTCGCGGTTCCTTTAAAGCCGGGCCTTTGAAATGCCGGTGGTCTGGGTAGAAGTGAGCACTTTTTCAAGTTTAAGAGGCGTGCCTACTCCTCTGAGAGCGATTCGGATCCCGGCCTCTCTGGCTTTACTTCTCACCTTAGCTGCAAAATAGAAACTTTAGAGTAGCGGTTCTCAACCTGTGGGTCGCGACCCCTTTGGGGGTCGAACGACCCTGTCACAGGGGTCGCCTAAGACCATCGGAAAACACATATATAATTACATATTGTTTTTGTGACTCATCACTATGCTTTAATTATGTTCAATTTATGACAATGAAATTGGGGGTCACCACAACATGAGGAACTGTATTAAAGGGTCACGGCTTTAGCAAGGTTGAGAACCACTGCTTTAGAGAAAACATGTCATCATCACATCCTCTCCAGCGTGAGGGCACCCCAGCCCCCCGCTGCGGTGCCGTGGCCATGAGATGCCCTCCTAGCCCGTAAGGACCGTCCTCCTGGTTTTGTGACGGGTGACGGGCGGCTCCTGTGCGGGTTAAAACAGATCCCCTGGTTCCCATTCACGATGCCGTGCTTGTCTCATACGAATATGAGCAACTGGACCACTTCCTACGGACAAACTGACTCCTTAAACAGGACAACGACTTCAGTGCACATGTTCAAAACACCTGTTTCCCAATGGGCCTTAGTACAGAGGCGTGACTTAGCTTCAGTGTCGTTTACTCATTTTTTAAGTGTATAGTTGTCACAGACGTGCCAGGCATGTGTTTTAACCCCTTCCCCGGCAGAAACGTGTATACTCGTTTTCACAAAATGTTCTTTTTCAGTCGTCGACGAGTATACTAAGAAAATATGGTAAAAAAATATGGTTTATAGGAAGACGAGTTACAACCTGTTTTCATAACCAGCATCAAAAATACTATATAGAACCAAAATAAAAAATTTACTCTGAAAAAGAAACGTTTTTAACAAAAAAATTGTTGGGGAAGGGGTCAAAGGTT